TATAATTATTTTTGTTAAGAGTAATACTCATATTTTACATTCAATATGTGACCTTAAATCATATTCTATGTACCGAAATTAATAATTATTAAATAGAATTTTAGACGTTGGAAATCCATTTAAAAGAAATGTACAGAAATACTTCGTTACATAATTTATGCAACTTGTCTGTATTAATTTTACATGAAAAATATATAAGTTTTCATCAAAAACTTAAGTTTTGTAAATATAAACATTGATAAAAATATAAATACATTCAATCATAAATAGAAAATGAAATTTAACACAACTTTTTGATTTCGGGAGACAATTGATTATTAAATTTGTATATATCTCAATATATATACAGTATGATAATTACAAGCTACTTAATTTCAAATTTAAACAACGCAAAGTAATTTAATAAATTTGTATAATGAAAAAGGACTAGATGTTTCAATATTAAAATAAATATATTCAAAAAAACAAATTAAAACATAATGCAGAATATCAATTTTAGAAAAAATATATACTTTATTTATTCTTAAATGATAAATATTATTATTCAAGAATATAACCATTGCAAGAATTATTAAAATTTCGAAGAAAATGTATCGTTTGAATTATTCACATAGGAAACATAATTAACATATATAGTTATATACTTTATGTTCAAAGTAGAATATTAATATAATTTATTTAACACAATTTAAGAAAACTAATTTACTGTTTTAATTATATTTGTAATTTAAGAATAAATTTATTACCATTTATTATTATTTATCTCTAATATTGAGAACTTACGCTGTTCAAAAAATGTTATGCAGTTCAAAATTTATATTTCCAAAATATTTATTTGTTCAGATTTAAGCATTTCTTTAAAATTTAATATATGTTAATATTTGTATTCACATTCGTTAGAATGTTTTTTTCTATTAATAAAAGGGTTATCGAGCTTTTAACATCCATATCTTTAGAATCGATATACACTATATTATTACCTTTTTATGCGCTATTAAAAATTTTTGTGGCTTAAGCGTATCAATATGAAATAGTGTAGTATAATTTAGTCGAATTAATGATTAGTGCTTTGTTATATACTATATAATAATCAACATTATCGTACATTTTCGTATTCTACTTAAGTGTTAGATATTTCAACTATTAAATAACCACAAATATTTAAATAATATTTCATCTGATTATATAGCATTCTGCCAAAGTTATTTTATGCACGAAAAGTTTATATCAGCATAATGACTTAATTATATTCAATAGATTTAAATTATACAAAAATTAATAATGTTTAATTTATTTTATGTAGCAAAAATTGTCGTAATTTCTTGTATATTTCGTGTTTATTTTGACAAAAGCAACTATTTCTTTTATGTGCATATAGAGATGCACTGATATAATTATTTCAAAGTTCAAATATATATGCAATTAATTTGTTCAATTATTATAAAAATAATTTTATTTAATTCTTGAATATTTGTATTTTTTCTTAATGTAATTTTGTATTAAATTTTAATTAAGCCAAATATTATATACTGTCAACGCTTGCTAAACTGAAATAATAAAGGCACTTTTATAAAATATTTATTTAAATATCAAATTTATATTACAGATTATTTTTGTTTATTGTAATATAATAAAAATATTAAGTATTCTATAAAATTTGAAATTAATTTTATGTAAAATATGTGTTATGTGTAAATAGAAAGTTAAAATTGAATATAAATTGAACTAATAATAGCGTTAACTGATTCATTATGTTTATCATGGTAATTATTTAAATACTTTATTAAGAATTTTACTTTACTTACTTTAATAACAGAATAATTAAAGTAATGGATGCATTTATAAAAGATATTTAATGAAAAAGGAATACAATTGATAAAATGTTTAATTTTTCAAAAATATTTTTCTTTTTCATGGTAACATTAATTCAATTAGAACAATTTATTATTATTTGCCTATGTCAAAATAAATACAAATTATTAATTGGATTTACATCAAATAAATGAAAAACTATATTAAACATTTTAGAATTATGAAAATCTGAAAATATTAAATTAAATAATAAACGATAAATATAAATTACTATATATATGCGTTAGTGTGCGAGCCCGCGTGCGCGCGCGCATGTGGAGGTGGTGTGATTGTTTGTAGGAATTATAAGATATGTATATAATGTTTGTGGTATTTTTTACTTGAATAACATGTAATGTCTGAAATTGAACTCTCATTTGATCATTTTATCATTCTCTTCAATTGTATAATCAACAGTATAAATTAATTTTTTATAATTATAATTTACAATACAATGCAATTTTTAATAGAATAATTCAATTCTACATATTTTGAATATTATAAATGAAAGTTAGAATATATTAAAATTAAAAATGATATGTTATCATTAAATAATTTCTATGACTACATTTGTCATTCTTAAAATGTGTACATCGACTATTTCAGAATTTCAACTATTTTATGGCAGAGTATTATAATCATCTCTCATAATATTAATTCAGTGTAACATTTTTCTTACCAACGAACACAGAATTTATACGAACCTGCACGTAAAAAACTTTCCCACCTCATATTATTATTTTTCTTACTCTCTTAAATTTAACAATTATACTTGGAGTTTATTATTTATTTGTTAAGCGTAAATTATGTTATTCAATTTATACTCATATGAAATAAAATTATAAATATTGATAAAGTTTATCTCTATCCAAAGATTAGAAAATACATCTAATTCTCATTATCTACTACATTGTGTAAGTTAAATATATATCGCTATAGATGTCATAAAACTAAAAAATATGAACTAATTAATACATAATATATTGTGTCCGTATAATTAAATGGACAAGCAATTTAAAACGTAATCATATCAAACAGCAACTAAGCATTGTATGAACAAGTCAATTTCATTTTGCGTATATAAATTTACTACTATTATTTGAAAATTGAGTATCATTTGTATATTTGCATATCTTTTAGCTTCTGCTTAATTATTTTTCAATTTCATTCGAATTTCATCGTTTTAAATGGTTCTATTATTTTGTGAAATGTGGTAAAATATACTAATAACTGTATCAATTTTTATTTATGTAATAATAATAAAGTATATTCAAATTTAGTTTTATAAAGTTACGTTTTACTATAAATAATAACAAAAATAAAAAATAAATATATTGATTTATTAATATTTCAAATAAATTAATAATAATATAAAAAGTTAATAATAATTTTTTTAATTATTATGACATACCAATGAAAATTAATAGATTTTTAGACTTTTTCTTCTGATAGTTTATAAATCATTAAAACATGAATTATAATATCAATTAATCATGAATTTTCTCGAAGTACGTAATATAAAATTTTGAATATAAAAATGATTCATTCTATATTAATATCGAAATAATTATTTTTGTGATTAACTGTTTCATAAAAGCTGTGTAAGAATGTATAGAGTAATAAAATTATGTATCATGCGCATTTAAAAGAAAAAAATTTGTATTTGGTTATAAAAACATACTTTTCTATATAACATATATATCGTATATAACAGTATATTTTGTAATCGTATATTGTATTTAAGAGTATGTTCTTACAACAAAATTCATGTTTTAGATTCATCAATGATGCTTTTATACGTAAATATATAATCATCATCATGACTAAAAATACAGTTTTATAACATACATAATGTATGGTTATAAATTTAGATTGCATACTACGTTTTATTGTTGTTGTTTACAAATAAATGACAATCATTCTTCGAAAATAATTTTTCTCTTTCCTCTTTTAATCTTTTATGAAGTTGGTTATCTTTTTGAATAATAGCTATGATTAAAAGATTACTTTATTAACCGAGGCACCGAAGGCTTTTTAAATCACTTTAAATTATTAACATTCTTGAAAATCGGGTAAATAATTTTCTTTTATTTTATTTAAATATATATCTTGGTAATGTGATCAAACCATTAATAAAATTTTTAACAGCGTGACAAACAAATCAGTTTATCTTTTTGAAAATTTTCTTGAAATATATTTAAATCTAATTTCAGTAATTCTATCTTAAAAGGGTTCGATTAAAGTAAGGTCAATTAAGTATTTCGATTTTTAATAATTATCAAGATAATTTGAATATTCTTATGAAATAGATAGCTTTTAAAGAAATTCCATTAAATAATATTAAAATATATAATCACATCATAAAATTAAGTAAATTGCTTATGACTAACGTTTACAATAAAAACTTAAACAAGTATTTATCTTTGCTAATAGTTGTACAAAATATGACAAAACGGAATTTTTATAGATATTAATTTATAATATGTATATGTATAAATTTATAACTATAAATTACAAATTATAAATTCTATACTTTCAATATCTTAAAATATTAATGGTAATATATCTTATTTTAAAAATAGAATCTAACGTGCCTTTTATTTATCACTCAATTATTCGGAATTGTTTCGAAAATAATAATTTTAATTCTAATATATTATAAAAAATTAATTTCTATACATTAATTTGTAATATAATTTCTATTTTTACACGCATGTAAATAATTTTATCATATATAGATATTCGGATTTTTTCATCAAAAGCGATAATTACTTTCTCATCGTTAACATATTTTAATACTGAGTTTTTAGTCATGTATTTAGAAAAAAGTATTTTTTATTTTACATTAATCACTCATTCGTACCTTGCGCATTATTGCTGATTTCATTATCTTCCTTTTTGTGATCTTGCTCCTTTTGTGCCCTAATTTCATCATCTTGAAAGAAATCAAAAAGCCAATTTTATTATATTCGCATTAATTTCCATAACATACTTTTTCATTTAAATTGTATGAACAAAATATTTAATAAATTAATATAACGATTCTCTTATAAACAAATTTTCCATTCAATAAATTTGTTTCTATATGTAATAAAATAAGTAATTTTTTAAATCAGAACAATAGAATTTCTAGTGGATTTATGATTTACCTTTGATGGCTTGCTCCTTCCAAATTTTTTTATTTTCTACCAGACAAGCTATCCAAGGTTTTATGATTTGGAACGTCCTATCCACTGCAGGTAATAATAATGAATAATATTATTCTTCCTACAGATATTTCTTCAAATTTTACACATTTAACAGTTATTTATTAATAGAATAATATGATACTATTATGTAAATAATCAGAAATTTATTATAGTAAATAAATAATTATAATTTAAGAGAAATATAATATTACAAATTTTAGTCTAAGTTTTACCTATTAAATAAATAAAGGAAATATGACTTTTACAACAAATTATACGATATCAAAAATATAATAAATGAAATTCTTAAAAGAGAATTGATAAATAATAATTATGTATACTTATAACAATTTAAAATAATAAGACTTGTTAAAGTTATGCAGTGTTTGTTTATTCTGAATTTTAATCGGGCCTTAAGGACTTCTATTTTCATTTCTATTTTTATTTCTATTTCATCTATTTTTTTTCTAATCTATTTTTATATTTTATTATTTTAATATATATTAATTAATAATATATCTTAATTCAGTACTGTAAAATAAATTAAATGAAAATTGGTTTATATTATATTGTATTTATTTTAAGATACCAAAAAATATAAATTAGTATTTTTATAATATAAAAATATATAAATTAAATAAAGAAATAAAGCTTAAAATAGTTCAATGGACAAAAATAATCAATAAAAACAATTTTTTTTAGAAAAATAATTAAAGCTTTATGTAATATTTCTTTTTACTTTTTAAAAATGTAGTTATTAAGTTTCAATTGAAATTTAAATACAAATTGTACTCTTTTTATTACTAATGTATATAGTAAAAATATTTGGATAATTATATAATTAAATAACATTCGTTAAATGTTTCGATGGAAAAAATCCTTCCATAATTAGAATTATATTTGTATATTTTAGATAGCGCAACATTTAATTGATATAATATCTTTTTTATAATATCTTTTTTATAATTCAATTAGGGAAGCATTTAAAAATAAAATATTACTTATTTTAAAAAAATTATTACTTTTCTAACAATAAAAAAATTTTAATATTTAATAATATGTAAAAATAGCTATTGTTTAATGAATATTTTTCAGATAACTAAACAATTATAATTTTGATGATAAATAATAATTGTATTATATTGTTTTATTATATTTTGATTATATTTTATTATATGCTTATCAATGAACAGTTTTGTACATTAATATAAATATTCAAATAAAATGAAATTTTACCTGGGCCAGATTCTTCATTATTTTCTTTTACGTTTAATGGAGTAAGAATTGTTTCTAACATATCACTGCACACTTGCATACTAGGTTCAACAATGAATTCAATAAATCCTATTTGAGACTCGGCTACTAAAGTATTATTTCGATCGCAAAGTGGAGAGAAAGGTAAGCCAAGTTCTCTCTCTTTGTCACCTTGGCGAAAAAATTCTTCTAAAAGCTGTGTTGTCCAGCTAATATAAAAAAAGAAAATATATTATGTTATATTTAACATATTTTAATTGTATCTTGAATATTACATATGCTTTATTAATAATATATTCAATTGACATTGTTAACATTTAATTGGAATTCAGTCATCGTCAAATTAAACTACGTTATATTAAAAATGTAATTAAATAGTATTTAAAAAAAATTTTAAAAAATACATACATATAAAATTAATTTAATAATTTTTAATTAAATAATTAATACAATTACTCAACAATCAACGTTTACTTTCAAATTATACATAACCGCTTTGCAAGGAATTTAGTGAATAAATATGTTGTATATATATACATATACATACTTAATTTATTTATTTGTTAACGTTCATATATATATACATACATATATACATATATATATATATATATATATATTCATTGAACACACAAGCACACACATATGTATTCATTTATTTGAAATTGAAATAAATTTTTTAAATTATTTATATAAAAATAGTAAGGTAATGAAACTTGAAATATTCAATTTTAATACTTGTAATTTAACTATTAGCTAATAATTTATATCTCATCAAATGTTGCAATTTTTAAAATTTGTTTTCATTTTTATTTAATTAATTTTTTTAATATAAATTTTTATTATTATGAATTTTGTATTAATTATAGGTAATGAAAAAATAATTTGAAATAGTTTGAAATTAGTTTTTACATTTGTTACGTAGCGGTATCCATTGTTTTATTTGTAAACTTTTATACTTTGAATTTATTGCAAATTTAATGAAAATATTAATAATGAACATTCAACTTTTCGTTTAATATATTATCAATTGATAAATCGGGTGCAATTTATGGTTAATAATTTACCGGTGATGTAAATCCCACCGTTTAGCAGGATGTGAAATATCACAACAGTGAAGCACGAGGCTAACAGCTTTGCTTTTGTCAACTTTCGGCTCAGCTAGACTTAATATATTCTTCATATTCTTCAGTTGCTGGAAGTGAAAGCTCATATCGGTTGCTAAGACCATATCGATTACTAGAGTTCTAAACTCACGAAACTCTTCTATCGAGAGATTTTGTACAATATTACACTCATCTTCACGTAATATTCTGTAGTAATAATAAGATAACAAGAAAACATTTATATAAAAAAATTCCAATAAAAGAAACATTTATTAATATAAATAATTTATGTAACTAATTATGCTAATTATTTCAATTCTAGTGAACATGAGATTAATACGTAAATATTGATCAGAATATTTTAAATTTTATTTAAAATTATGGATAAAATTGTAATTTGACAATCATGTTGACTTGTACGCATCCCTCAGATTACATGTTAGGGTGGTTTAAATTATATGACAATATAATAAAGTGGACACTTTATTAAATGGAAATAAAAGAATGTTTGCAAATGGTAATTGTATGATTTGATCGGTACAAATATAAACATATATCTGCGAACAGAAATCTGTTGTCTAATGAAATAGATTTAATTCATATGAATTTAAATTTATTTTATAGATAATATTTATTAAATAAAATATATTGAAATAGAAATATTTTTAGTACTTAATTATTAGTAATAATATATGATAACATTACGTTCTCCAAATTATGATAGCTACTTCAAAAACTTTTTAACTTATATTTGATATATAATTTAATATTAAATATACAGAATTACTATATTAAAAAAAACCGATTTAGGTGAAGAAAGAAAATTTAAATTATTATATATATTGAATTTTTTTATATTACAATACAGATAATTTATTATAATAGAATATAATTGAGTGATAGCACTCGATAATTTTTTGATTTTTTAAATAAATGTTATTTGCAATTTGAAATATTCAATGTAAAGTTATTTTTACTGCATACAAAAAACTTTTTTCAGTGAAATTGATTATTTATAAATGTCTATGAATTATGATAGAGGTAACATTATATGACTTTTGAGAAACAATGATTAATATTATATAACGGTAGACATTTATTTTATATATACCGGAAACTTGCTGAGATGTGATGATTTTCTAGTACGGCTCGGTCATTATAAAGTAAGGCTGCTTCGCTCCCAGACATAACATGAAAGTTGTTAGTCGTACCCGTGTGTTCGTAATCATGAATCAGAGCTGCCACAAGAGTTGCAAAGATCTCCAAATCTGTCAGCCAATTCTAAAGTACCAATGTTCTTCATATTTATATGTGTATATTTATCAATACCCTTTTCAATATTGAGGAGTTATTTAACGTATGCGTGTATGGAAGCATACTACATTCATACATACACACATAACTGCATACATTCATATAAACGCATTCATACAAACCCACCTATATATATATATATATATATATATATATATTCATATTTTAATGATGTTAATGCCGAACAAGCTTCGTTTATATATATTTTACTTTACAATATAATTAAAAAATGAACTCTTAATAATTATAGTTAAAAATGATATAATTCACCTTACATAATTTAATAATACAACATTTAATACACACACACACACACATATATATAAGTATATATATAATATATATTTATTATATATTATATCTTTTAATATCAATTAAACGAAAATGAATATACCTTTCTTTAAAGTGATTAAACAATATCAAATAACCAATAAATAAATGAAGTAAAAAATATTTTTAATCATTAATAAATTTATCAAATTAATAATCGATAAATTTGTTTTATTCGGAAATATTATTACTTATTAACTTAATTAATTATTATTCAGAGAAAATATAAAAACGTCATATATTCCATTATTCTACATGAATATCTAATTAGAATGATATAAAACTAATCAAGCATTTGTTTAATTGTTATGTTTAATTAGTTCTCTTGTTAAGACTTAACATTTTTAAAATTATTTTATACATAAATTTTATTAAGAATTTCTTACCAGGTATGAAATGATAGGCGATATTTCATACAACTCTATTTACATGATCAAAATATGTAAAATAGTAAATTTTTTGTTAAAATCAGTTTATTTCATATTGCTTATTATTTCCGGGGTAATAGATATTTTAATTAATGATTTGAAAACTTTCCACATAGAATTTTCAAGATTATAGTTTATTCCATGTATTGTAGAGCATGTCTAAAACGACTAGATGTTTTCACTAATCTCCCATATATTATACAAATCTATAAGTGTTCAAAATAAATGATAATTAGTAACAAGAATAAATGTAAGTAAATTTAATTAAAGAAATGTTTATGCTGATTTTAGTTTTTTTATTCAATAGTTTAAATAATAATCGAAATTAATAATAAAATTTGTATTTAAAATTCTATATCTTGTTCACACAATATACAATGACATATCTTACCATTAACCCAGTGCGACAAAGTATGTAATGCATTGTCTGTGCGACGTCGGCTGCGTGGAGATTATTGTGATATGGATTGCGATATCTACAATAACCTTCTTCAACTTTACCGAGAAAGTTCTCAAGTATAGCTGTGGGTACTTTAAACTTATGAATCATTCCGTAACGGCTGAGAAGGTCGTATCCTAGGTATTTGACCGGTGTGCCTTGTGCTGCTTCACTTAACGAAAATACATCGAAGGACCACTCATCCAGTGTCTGTAATTTCATTATATTTTTTTATTGACTTCAATTTCAGCTTTTATTTTTTTTATTCCTTTCATTTTATGGATTTTTGAATACTAGTAAATTTTAATTAATCTTTACAGTGACAGAACATCAAAGTCAAATGGTTATTTACATTTCATAGTATTATTAATAAAAAATATAAATATGAATTATTACTATAGAAATTTCAATTGAAATAAGAAACTAATAAATGAATAATATATAAGATAAATAATGTTTGTAAAATTTATATGTGCATAGACGAATATTCGAATTAGGAAATTGATAAATATTTTGTTAGATTTAAATTATTTTATTGTGTTAATAATATTTTTAGATATAATTATATTCTGTTATTAGTTATATTGAATTTTTAATTAAATTAATACTCAGTTTAATAAGTTTACAAACCCATAAATATTACTGTAATATGTATTAAATATAACTGCATTCATAGGTTTATTAAATGAATTGATTTTTATATTTTTAAAAGTTAATATGTAATATTAATATTAATATTAATATTAATATTACATTATTATCGTGCATTTTAGAGCATTTTAAATATTAAGTTAATCAAAATAGTATTAATATTATATAGCCAGTGATATTATATATACTACGATGCTAGATAATATTAGCTCCACTTGCTTTGACAGAGATAAACAACGGATCTAAATTTTTAAAGTCTCAATTCCCAGAATCAAATATAATTTCATATTTTATATTTAATATCAAGTGTAATTAGACTTTAATGATTAATTAAACAAATATCTTAAAATTATATTATCGTTTTATTATATCTGTAAAAATGCATAGAAATTAGCAATGTAGTAATGAAATGGCAACGGATAAATGATATCAAATAACTTTACAGTTGAAATAATTTACCTTAAGAACTTTAACAATGTTAGTAGGGAATTGCATTAGGGCTGCATTAGCAACCCGCCTATATATGCGATCGACAAAGATACCAGCTCGGATAGCGTTAGCAACTGAACGGAATTTAGGTTTTTCATCTACGCGTCGTTTCGTTGTTGCCAGCTGACGGGTAAATGTCGAGGCGAGCCATTCTCGCACCTCGGGCGGCACTGCGTCTGGCTCAACTTCAGATAGTTCGTCATCCTCGTCAGCTAGTCGCCTATGAGACAGTTAATTTTGCGCATTCATGTTATTATTTATATTTAGTTTCTGCCTCCATTTATTACTGTTTATATTAATACATTTATTATTATTATTATTTTTTTTTTTTATTCTATTTGAACTAAAAGGTATAGTTTTCGTGTGATGACTTCTAGCGTATTCGCATATGAAAAAATTATACAGTGGGAGATTACAATAGTTACAAATATAAGAAAAATGATAGACCATCCATTCATTATCACAAAAAATATATTTTACTTTCTTTTATGATTAATCTTATGTATTTTGTTTATCATCAGAATACTATTGATTTTCATCTAATTTTGGCTTGAGCATAGTTTTGTACAGTTCAGTTAATGATTACGTATTTACACACATGCATATATATATATATATATATATATATATATTCTTATATAAAAAATTATAACCTTTTGAGATACTCGAGTTGAGATCAGTATAAACATTCATTTTCGCTTATCATCATTTACAAAATTACTTGTAGATTGAATATCTGAGGCAGTTTATAATTAGGTTCTTACTTTATTAATTAAAATTTATTTATTCCAGATAATTCAATTTTTTACTTATAAATAAAAGTAAATGAAATTTAATACAAACAAATTTTAACTGATAAAATTAAAATCACAATAGAATTATAAAATTTTGAGGTATAAAAAGATTTAACTCTGCTATTACTAAAAATGCAATTCATTTGTGTAGAGATTATTTTAATATTAATATTTTTATTGTTTATATAATTAAATAATGTATAAAATCACATAATTATCTGAACTGTATTTGCATACTAAACCGATAAATATTAAGGTTTAGTTCGATATTGAATATTAATATCATAATCTGTTCTTCTTATTTATTATTCATTAATCAAAACATCTTATAAAAAAATATTAATATATATAATTGAAGAGCTATTTTCAATGTTACAAATTACATAAGTCAACCATGTATTGTTAAACTATCACAAAAAAAGAGAATAATGTTTAAGAATGATCTTTCTTATTTATTTACAGTAAAATTGACAGTATTGATAATAATAACTTTTTATATTATTTCTGAATCAAATAATTCAGAAAATAAATGTTATTAAAAAATAAAATATATTTTGATAAATATTTTATTTGAAATTTTATCGATGTAATTTCATCAATATAAACTTCATTAATATTGTATGTATGTTTTTTTAAAACTCTTACTATTTTATGAAAGATGATAATAATTAGTAATAATTATTAGTACCATAATAATTAACACTATGATATTCCCACTACAATAATAATTTATTTATATTATTATATACTGAAATATTTATCATGTTTAAATATAGAATTTTTTCTTATTGATTAAAAAATATATATTTATAATTTTAATATACAAGAATATTATATAATAATGCAACAATTCATGAATTGGCAGTAAAAATGAATGCTTTTCTTGCATCGTTTCAGTAAAAAAATATTTTGATTGCTTTATAATTCTAGTGCAATATATTTAAAAAGATAAATATTATTAAAAAATTTAATGAAATTAAAAATATCAAGTAATTTTTATATAAAGCAATAACTATTTTTAAATATACGTCACTAGTAATAACATGAATATCTTTATTTTCATTATTCGTGAAATTTAGATTAATTCGAATTATTATAAATTAAAATATATTTAGTAAATCCTAATTAAATGTAAACTGTATAAAAATGAATAAGAATATGATTTAAAACAAAGAAAATTACTTAAACATATAGATAAGACCTTTTATTTTATATGTTGAAACCAACATATAGTATAGGTATGTATTTAATGCACTATTAAATAAGATACGGAAGATAAAATACAGAAAAGAAATAATCAAAATGAATGAATGAGAAAGAGAAAAATTAAAAATTCAATTCCAATAATAAACAAACCTACGACATATGTCCTGTTGACCGATGATTTTCCTGTCCAGTAGTTCTGCATCTCTATAAAGTAAAACAGCGAAACAAATAACAACTATAACATTGAATATAAAAAATGAAGACTTAGAATATGTTAATTGACTTGTATGCCTCTATATTTCTCAAGTAATTAATACACGTCTGTCCATTTTAGTCCTTTGGCTACAGGCTTCATAACAAAAATTTAATTAATAGTCATTATTTATAAAGAACACGCCTAAAACTTCTATTACATGATTCCCATATATATTATATATGTGATTATCATTCCATTCTATATAATAAAATTTTTTTATCCTTTTTTATTTGATTTTATAAAAGATTAGATTATGAAGTTTCAAGACCGCCGATTGTCGGCATCGCCGGCCTTTTAGATATCAGATTTCTGTAAACACTTGGATGAGAATTTTTCGTCTACTTGTTATGTTTTGGTTTCAAGTGACCCGTAATGTTTATATGGTCATCGGGTAATAACATCGCCCGGATTTTATAAGGCAAGCACGCGGCGTGCCTCGCTCTCTTGCTAAATATCTCTTGCCTCAGTGATTTAGTATATACTGTGACAACGACACGTGGCCACATATTCGGCAACCAACTTAAAAATACACGTGCATTATTAAAAAGAAATCAGCAGATTAGGTAGTGATTTTACACTGAAGCCAATTGGAATAGTAATGAAAAGGGACACATCAGCTACGCAGTAAATCAACACACCTTGTCGGCAGTTTACAAGGTACATCTTTTTATATTATTAAATAAGCTAGTCACACGGGTAAACTGACGCTCTCTCGAACTAACACTTCGACCCTGTACAAGCCCATAAGAGTCGACACAAGTGACGCAATTCGTCAAGCACATTGTCAAGGCCAGACAACAATATATCGAATAACCGACTATAAATACATTTCATCAAGTCCTTCAAAGCTCGAAGGCTTATCATTTATGACACTTGCCTGTGACTAGTCTTTTTTACTGTTCCCATCATATTTAAAACCATAATTTCCATCAAAACGTCTTACACTCTATCAAGTATAGTTATTCCGGCTATCAAGCATACTTGATTCAAACACCATCTTCTCATGCTACCTCATGAGCATGATTGACTACATCGGCTGATATTTACAACATCAGCATAATATCAATTACAAGATACACAGTAATATCCATAGAATCTACGATAATCAAGAAAGCAAGGAAACACCCTCATTACTACAATAGAATAATGTTCTCTCTCAACAACAGTGCAATATTATTATAATATTATTAGTATTATTACAATATTATAATAATATTAATTTTACCAGATAATAAACATTGATTTTACTAAAATTACATGATATATAATATTTTTCAGCCCTTCCTCTTATTATTTCCTTTTAAGTTATCATGACGAGAGATTAATCCACTGAACTATTGAATTGGCAGTCTGTTCGAGAATGCGAGAACATTTTCTTGCCACGACTTCCCACGGTCGCTGACACTCGAGACGGTCAATACATCTGGAAAACTCCAGTGAATAATAAGATTATTTATTCTTGCTTATCTAAAAACGTGCTCATGCTTTCCAGTGCAGTAAAACCTTATGTGTTTGTTGCCAAGAAAACTCCAACGTAGATTCTGAACAAATATCAGATGTGCATAAAGTATCGAGTACAAACATTTCCTAAATTTCACTGCAACCCAAAAACCCCGGACGTGCGACAACATGCAATAGCCGTACGTGCGCACTCGGCCTTTAAGACAATGCTTGCATTGTTCTTGACTACGCCGCATCTGGTCGATCGCATTGGAAGATCGACCACGCCCAAGCGGACCCTTCGTCTAGCCAAGTCCCAGAGAAGAGAGAGGCGACCAAGGAGAGGTGACCAATAGTAAAGGCTCCCCACTTTTCGACACTTTTCCGATTAGCATATTC